AGTTGGTTTACTAGCAAGGACGACTGAAGCTGGTCTTCAGCGTTATAATCCCTACTTAAAAGAGATCCGCAATTATATGTTTTTAAGCTTTTTACCACTATACATACTGAGTGCTTATGGGCAAAGACTAAACGTTTTTGTAAGGAGCAAACCAAACTGTAGATATATATATTTGTAATATTATACAATTTTAGATTTTTTATGCAATAGAGAACATAAAGCCAGAGCGATCCGCACGCGGACTGTAAAAAAGGCAGCCAAACTTACCTCGATTTCGTAGGTAAAGATGAACAGTCGGTTTTGACTAACATTTCGCGGAATGACATATTGCTTCAATAAGTGAACATTTTATGGAAGCGGAGGACCTAGAATCCAGAAAAAAGCGTACATGAAGACGTAGCTGCTAAGCTACTTACTATTTCGACATAGACTGACGCATGAGCCGTAGTTACAGAGTGATTCTGATCAGTGTTTTAGAGGCTTACCGGGAATGCTCCGTAGAACCTTGGAGTTCCATTTCTTTGACGTATAACTACCGAGAAGGTATATAAGCCAGTCTTGTCCAATCCGCCATTATTAAATGTCGGCGAAACATGCAGGACATATAAGGGCAAGCTTACATTACACAAAACTTAGTGTATACATTACACTCGACAGCGTTTTTAAGCATATCATAAGTGCATTAAGCGGAACACATCCTGGACAAATGAATGGTCCCTGAAAAAACCTCAATTCAGTCGACAATGTATTCGTTAGGTAATAAGTCCCTGCATTATAGGCATGTATCTTTAAGCTTAACAATCGCTTATTAAAGTGATAATTTTTTCGTAATAACTCGCAGTTACATCCCAATGCGTATGCAGGACAATCCTCGGATATTCTCATAATGTCTGCAATGTTAACTATCGTGAAAAATGATTAAAATTTTTAGGTTGTGGGCACAAACATTCGTGGTCCAAGACATGTTCAAAAGAAGTTATAGTCCCTTATGTTGTCATCGGATAAATTATAATTAAAATAGTCATTCAAATGGGCGAATGCAATTGTCAAAGTATTAATTCATTCAAACAAATCTTCCTGTACGAAGCGAACCAGGTGTTATAATACAAAGAGTTCCGATACGTACATTAGTTGACTGTAAGCTTGCTGCGTGACTGGAATACGTTTAAAAGGAATGCAGTTGCAAAAATTCCCATGAGAGAATTCAGAAGAGTATTAAGCGAGTGTACACTTTCGATAGCTTCTCCTTAGACCAGTACATTTATAGGGAAATATTCAAGTTAAACAAGCGATCGATAAAGTATTTAGTTTCTTATAAGCGGGAGTCAACCAGAGCGCGGTTTAGGGCATGCCGATGAGCGGCTGCGGGCCACGTCAGAAATTATTTTGTGCACACAAGGGAATATTCTCTACTCCAAACGTCGTCAGTGGACAATAGTGAATAGCACATATAGAGTCTTTTATTCAACAAAGGACAAATACTCTACGATACTAAATACATATTACAGGAAAAATAATTTCATTGATTTTTTGTATTTAATACATGATCCACGTTTTGGTGCTATATTTACTTAAACGTTAATTTGAAACAATGCAATGCACTACAGTAGTATGTGGGCGTGGATATATCATTAAAGGAGAAATTGGCGACTACTATGATACTACTAGAAAATGCACTTCCGGTAAAAAGAAGATGTTTTCCAGCGTGTTTGGGCCAGACAAATGATTTTTAAAGGATCATACTTTGCCATTATCCTCATTCCTCATTGTGTTCATAATATAACAATCAAGGATATATTTTTCTGTTAAATTTGTACAAACTCTCGTGTATCTATATCGCTCTGAGACTAAGTTGAATAAATATTCAAGACTAGGAGAGAATACATAGACATTCTCAAAATGTCAGCATTCTAATGTTTTACGTTATTTATAAGGCAATGCTTATGGTGACTGGAACAAGTCTAAATGGATGCCACAAGCAATTATAGGGATAGATTTAACCTTAAATAACTCAAAGATAATCTTTTTTATGCATCGAAAATCCTTGTTAGTGGTAGCCTACGATTAATTATGTGCTAAGCCCCTACACTTCAAACTACAACCAATAAATTACGGCAAGAATACTGTTATATAAAATGCAATAACGCCATTTAGGCCATTTTGAATGAGCCTTGGTGACTAATATATAGCGCATAAAATCGTTTTCGCTACTTTGCCCTATAAAGTCCACTGAGTGTTAGAGTTTGACAGCCGTTATAAACATTCCCACGTCTCCCGGTCATTCGATTGGGGCTAGTTATTAGTGCACAGCAGCTGTAAGGTTAGTATTTTACCAATCTCATGTAAACTTTTTAACTTTTCGGAATCCATATGCAAAACACCGACAGTCGTTTCGTTTATAACAATAAATGCTAACATACTTGTTTCGTTTTCTAGAACACGAAATACCCACTGGATGTAGTGATTTGTCCAGTGGATGGAAGATAGCCGCGGCGGATCCGCTAGTCAGTTGGCTGTGGATTGTTGCGAGCTTTCGGTCTGCAGGAAAAAGGAGGACATAAAAGTGATATATAACGAAGGAACCATTTTCATGAATAACGTTGCAGCATTTACTTTTTGAGTCGATGTTTTCTTCACACCATTATTGCGATTGTTGTTACTTTATGATACTCACGTATAGGCATAACGATAAAATAAAAACGCGGCTATCCTAGTGCGCTTCTTGACAACCGCGTTTGCAAGTCACAACTTAATCGTGCATTCGTTTAAAATGAAATTATTCGGCATTTTGGCCTTATGAGTTAACTTCGTCCTCATAATTGCTTGTTGTTTTCCACGAAGAAGTTTGCATTAATTTAGAAGAAACGCGAAAAAATTGGGTTTTGCTAGTTGACAGCAACAAGTTACTCGGAGATATAAATTTGAGTAAGTTCCAGCAAAATCTGCTTCCAGAATTTCAAGTATCTTTTTAGGAGCTGGCATGAGAAGGCTAGGCATTAAAATTAAATACCAACTTACTTGACATAAACTGGTAGCACAATTCGGGCTGAATGCATGGATGCTTGTCGTCGCCCTTTATAATAGTCCAGTTTGAGGTCAACGACTTGGAAAAGAAGTGAAAGAAACATATATAGGAGGCGAATGCAATCAAATAAAAGCAAGGCCATTTACTGCTAAACATCAAAAAGTAGCTTATTTTGTGGTTTGGCCAAATACAGGTCAGTTTGATGATCACACAAGTTAAATGAACATAAAATTCTTGGAGACGGAAATTCCGAAGATCATAACTGAAACCTGCACGTGTTACATAGGCACAAATGCACATCCCTAGGTGGAAGACCAGTATTATTTGATGATAGAATGCGCAGAATGCCAATACATACGCTCCGGTCGAAAGTTAGCACCATCCCTTTGGTGCCAAATGTAATTGAGGATACTTATGTTCTAAAGGGTTTGTCAGAAGTACACACATAGAAGTATAAACACACCCAGTTCTGCAAACGTTCGTTCGCAATTTACTAGCAAACTTGCTGCATTAAAAATAACTGCAGCGACTGTATAGAAA